CTCAAATAAAGAAGCATTTCAAAATTTTCTGGAGTATTTTAGAACATAATTCTACCATATCTAGAAATTACGGTCGGAAATCAGTTGATCCTGGTAAATAATTTTGAACTTTTAAACATCACTGACCAAATTTATGTAATTCTCATTTCATCTATGAAATAAACATTCATTTATGACTTTTACGGCAACGTCAACTTTTTCATATTATCCACTCATCAAAAATTTGTCTACAACCTTTTATTCATTCCGTGATATTCGTAACATTCCCGAAAATGAAAGGGAAATGTTAAAGGAAAACCACATAAAAGAGATTAGAGCGTGGTTATTTTTAAACCAAAGTCTTAGTCCTTCCATTTTACTTATTCTTTTTCTTCCGAATTTTAATGACATAAATAGTTTTTTAGACAATCAGATGAAATTGAAGCGCGGAAAAAATACTTGAAGTGGTGAGCTGTCATACAAACCTTTTTAATTAGGAGCACTGGTAGGTACTCAAGAGCGCGTGTCGACAGCTTTCGTACTCGATTGTCATGAAATGAGAGAATGTTTTCTCATACGACCAGCTTTGTGTACACGGCCTGTGATAAAGTCACGTATTCCCCTTGAATATTCGAATTTGGTAATAGGAATGCTTTTGAAATAACAGCAAAGAAACGGGTTTAAAGTCGAGTTAAAGAAAACTGATTATGATAAAAATCGATAATCGAGTTAAACTCAAAGACATCTCAATTTCCAAATAAGGTATAGAAGAAACAGTACATGTCAATATTTAAATAAGTCTACCCCTATGTATGACAGATTGCTTGTCTGATTGTCTGCTTTACTGCTCGTCGCACTTCACTTATCTTCCAGCAGTAAAGGAACGGGTTTATAGTAGAGTTAAAGAACACTAAGACATTTGCCATTCCGTAGATAAGGTAGAAATTTGAAAATCTATTTGCACTAAGAAAAATCACAATTCTCCCTGTAAACTGTGGAACATAACAGACAACTAAAGCTAACTGCACCCACAGTGCATTGTACACTGCCTTTCTGTATCGCGCCATGTTCAGAGCAGTTGTTTGGCTTGGATGTTGTTGAACATGATCTTGTACTTGAACCTCATGATATCTTAGAGCGCGGAAAATCTTTGTGTACGAGGCGATTAAGCTTATCAGGCAAAATGGTATAATTATTAAGCTGCACCAAAGGCCAATACGGTAATCGAGATAAGAGAATAAACCAGCGAATAGACATGCAACCCAAACAATAGCTAAAATGATATACGTGCGCCTCAAAGTTACAGTCTCTTTGTATCTCAGTCCTAACAACATGGCCAGAAGTCGGTCCACGCTTATGGCCGTCGTCGTTAACAAAGACACTCCACATAATACATAGCTTAGTATGAAGATTACGTCCCTTGCGTATCGACAAAGACCCCAGTGTTCGTGAACCACGGACATCCAGTAGGTAACATAGATAGGCTGGGTAACAAGACCAACCAACAGATCAGTGGTTGCCAGACAACGGTAAAAGAGTTTGGATGGCGGATGGAGGGAAGATTCCTTATGAAGGGCAACAAGGATAAGAGAATTCCCAAGAGTTGCTGTGATGGAGAGGAGAATGTTGACTGCTGAGAATGATATGGACTGTTGTTTAAACTCCCCTATCCAAACCGAGGAACATAGCGATTCGTCAAATGTTTGCGTATGCGTTCTACTTTCCGTTAGATTTGTTGTCGTTATCATCCTGCCGTCGCTTCCACTCTCTTGCAGGTTATCTTTAGTTACAACGAGGAATATTTCGTCTTAACAGCACCACAGTCAAGGTCAGTTAAACCTTAGTTTTTGAATAACAATTACAGACAGTAAAAATTCATCATTATCGTCTGACTATGTATAATCTCCGAAAGATGTGAGGTTTGTGAAACGAATGAGAAAAAAAAGGCCTGTTTTTGTGCGCGAATTTGAATTATTAATAAGGGGAAAGTAAAACTGCATTTGTGATAGGTTGATTTCCCAACAAAACATAAAAAAAAACTTCTTTAGTCAAATAAACCTTCAGCGATAGGATATCGAAAGTCGACCGACTTTGCTACTCAACATTGCTGTTTGTCTTAGTTACCTGTACTTGGTAAACGGCATTTTGGATCTGGTATCGTATGAGAGGGTCAAATTTATACTCTCTGTAACAATTGTTAAAAACAAACAAAAACAAATAAAACCTTCGCTGAAAGCTATTGACAGATGATGAAGTTCTTATGCTAATGCTGTGATACCGGGACTTGTCAGAATTTTAATCACACACGCACGGCAAACTGAAAAGCAAAACGACTGCAACGCAGATGTTACTTGGTCAGGAA